CTTTTGCCTTTAATGTAGAAAATTCTCTTTTAAATCTGCTCAAATAAAAATGTCAGGAAGGCCTAAAAGGAGAGGCAGAGATTCTCCACACAGAGGTTCTGCAGGACTAAGAGGTGGTCGGGCAGGACCATCTAGAGTAGCCATACTATACACGGGAGCATACAAAGGATGTAGTTAAGTGGCTGGCAAAGCCTTTCTCTTTTAGCCTCTTGCAGGCACAGAGTAGCCAGTTGTTTGCAACTGCTGCTAATGCGCACACTTCTTCTTCCTCCTCCTCCTCTTCTGCTATCCTACCCATAGCCCCGCAACTGCTAATGAGGAGGTAGCAGAATTATTTTATCACATGATTACTGACTTACTGCAGGAGTATTAACTTGGTCATGCACAAGTATTTGTTGTTTCAGGTATTGAGGATGAGGAAGATAGTACCAACATATAGGGAGTGGAGAGCCAGGGGTACAGGCCACTGCTATCCTCAGGGCTCAGCAGACAGCATTATTTGATTGACAGACCAAAAGACTCCTGGGTCAGATCAGTTATGCTACTTGAAAGTCTTGAAAGGTGCTCTTTGGGTTTTGGACCTTTATATGTAGACGAAAAGTCTCATAAATGTGTTATCCCTATTTTGGGGTGTAACTCTTTGTATACCCAAGCTGTATAAGAGAAATATCTTATTGAAATTACAACTTAGGGGGAGGGGGGATTTCATTTACTTTTTTCAGTTTCCCAAAAATTGTGGCATAAAATTTAGAACTTCAAAATGCTCACCATGGCTTTTACTAAATACGTTCGGTGTCTGTGTTGCAAAATAGAATCATTTTGGGGGTGTTTGTATTGTCCTGGCAATTTAGGGGATGAAGAATTCCAATAGGCAGTGAGAACATCAGGGTTGATGCATTTCAAATATACACTGTATATACACCTTTTTTGTAGAATTTATAATTTTCACACAGACTACATAGTATTCACGTATTTATTTTTGTGTGCCAAAGCAACGTAGCAGAATATATATTGGCCTAGACTTATAAAGAACGATTATTTATTTTATTTTTTTTTCCACAAAATTTCCACTCTTTTTTCCGTTGTATAGTAAAAAACTCAAAAGCAAATTCGTTAATACATACACCAAAAGAAAAGTTCTGTTTGTCTAAAAGAAAATCCAATAAAACTAATCAGGGTACAGTGTTGCATGGCCATGTCATTGTCAAAGTATCACAGCTTTAAAATTAGAAAAAAATGGCCTGGACAGGAAGGGGGCATAACATGCTGGTCCTAAGGTAGTATGGCTCCATTCACATATAGCAGTAGCATTTTGCACGTGGTTATTCACACGGAAAACCATGAGGTACTAAATCATGCAAATGTTAACATGCATGCGAATTGCACACGTCTGCAGCTATTACTATAGCCAGAACGTGCGGAATCCGCCCATAAAATTGCATTTGTACTATGTTGCGAGACCGCCACAATAGTCTGAACAATGCACATTGCAATGCATTGTTTTTTTTATTTTTAGCACAGTTCTGCATGTATTCGTATGGCCGAATATGCGTGGAAAACTGTTCATGTGTGAATGGAGCCTTAAGGAAGGTACTATGAACACACACACACTATTCTTCTTTTCTTTTCTTTTTTTTTTAGCAGAAGTACATAAAATAATAGCTATACATATTATATATTGTTGGGCTCCATCATGCTTACTGCCAGTCACTTCATATCTTATAACATTATTCCTACCAAGGGCTAAAATATATATAATTGTTTACCCATGCTATTCATTTTTTAATGATATGCAAGCCCTTCAAACCTCTATTCTATTGCTAAATTTGCTAAACTCTTTTTGTTTTAGAAAATATTTTAACTGTACTCCATGTATTATTTTGTTTCTAGGGTCTGATACGTGCTGTGAAGGAACTGGATTATGAAGTCTGTCTGGGTCGATATACTCTAATTGTAACTGCGACAGATAGGTGTCCCATTGTACTACGCAGCCTGACTTCCACTACCACGGTATGCATGAAAGGGGTTGTGTAGGAAAATAATAAAAAACAAACTAGGTGAATGATATGGGTTAACAGTATGCCAAAGATACATGTGTGCCATCAGCTTTGTAAAGTTGTGACCTCTTCACCCTCCTGTCCCAAACTCAGATTTCCTTACTCCTTTGCCTAAAACCAAATACAGCGGTACCTTGGTTCACGAACGCCTCTGTTCACAAACAATTTGGATCAAAATTCTGCCTCCGTTCGCGAACTCTGCCTCGGGTGATGAACACGACCGCGGCCATCTTCCCCGCTCTGACACATGGTCGTGGCTTCCTGTACTCGAGATTGTGGTCGCAGACAGGGCTGTGGACACTTACTGTGAAGCTTTTTTGTGTGCTTTGTAGCACAGTACTGTACAGTATTACTGTATTCAATCCAGCATGGCTCCCAAGAAAGTGCAGAGCAAGCATGGTGGGAAAAAGAAAGCGCAGAGCATTAATGAAGGTGACAAGAATGTGCAGAGTGTTAATGAAGGTGACAAGGATGTGCAGAGCGTTATTGAAGGTGACAAGAATAGTGTTCACTCTCTTCATACTGTACTCTTCTGTGCTTTGTTTCATATTTTTGTGGTTAAATGTTTTTTTTTTTTAAATATGGTTCAGAACGGATTAACCTGATTTGCATTGAACCCTATGGGAAAATGTGTTTCGGTTCGCGACCATTTCAGTTCGCGACCAGAATTGTGGAACCAATTAAGTTCGTGAACCGAGGTACCACTGTACTATATCACAAGAAAAATTTGTATAATGAAATTCATAGAAGGGCTGTTACTCATATTTTTAGCTCTGTGTCCATTGCCCAGATAGACAATGGGGAGGCCACAGGAAGACATTGTGGTCTATGGAGTGGCTCTCACACAGGGAAGCAGGATACTCAAGTATAGACATCTAAATCTTGTTTTGTTCCAAATGGATATTCGTATGAATTTTGTTAAATTCGGACATTCGAATGCTTCCGAATTTCTAAATTTGAATGAGTCCGAATGCAAACGGATCTAAATGTTCCTCAAAACGACATGTGACTGTTCTCTGGCCAATCAGAAGGGTTTCTTTTGGCTGTTGGGGGGTTGCATTGCAGGCACGGTTCGCACAGATCCGAAATCCAAATAACGAACAGAATCAAATTTCAGATCGGAAAAATGAAAGCAATAAAAACCCAAATTGACCTGAAACAAAACTGTTCATTCTGTGTTTGGATCTCAACCAGTTTGCTTTAGAAGAATACATTTCAGGAAAAGTAGGAAAAGTATTTTTCCCATGCCTCCAATATATCTCCCCTTTCGTCCTTAAATTATTCAGACATTTTTTGATTTTGATTTTAGATAACATCGCAAACTAAAACTGTGTATTTAACCCATCACAACTTTGATGGTGATCCTTTATTTAAAACATTTTATTATTTTTGTAAGCTTTATGTTTTTATAGGTTTAATTATACATTTACCATTCAACCCATAGTGCTAATCTCCTTTGTGTTTGCTAGAATGCCAATGAAATAAATTACAACAGATGTCATGCAGGACATCACAGGACTCATGTATACTTTGCCTATACTTGTCAGCACCATCTAGGTGCACTAGTGCTGTGTAAACGGTATCTGCCAGGTGAAAGTTTTATAAAGAATCTTCAAGTGTGTTGTGCCCTTGATTTCAGTGCAGCTATTGGCCAATTCTAATAATCAATATTATTATAAAATTAGGGTCGCCAAGGACTGTAGAGAGTAAGCTTAAAGTATATTTAAATCGAATCATTTAAATCCCGTATAAGCTCTGTCTCAAACTTCTTTTCAATAATGTATCCAGATCAAACAAATATCGATTGCCCAGCAAAGTATTTCTTTATATTTTTGCCCAAAAACTTACAGTCATCATGTTTCTGAACAACTGGCTCCAACTCTCTCAGCTCTACTTCCCTGAACTTCCTGTCCAGTGCAAATTCATAAGGGACAGCGCAGTCTTCAGCAGCCATCCGTCTACTGGCTTGGTGAAGGGAGGAGGGGGAAAGGGGAAGCAGGGAGGAGGGGAATGTCTTGCCGTGCCTGGCTGTTTGTGGAGACACACAGCGCACACAAGGGTGGCTCCATAGGACCCTGCATGGGAAAAGAACCACCCTAAAACAGGATATCAGGACCAGTGCTCAGGAGACCAACTGATTCTGCAGGAAACTTTAGTATCACTTTAATGTAATTTCAAAAGTACATTTTTCAAATGTGCAGCTTTCTTTAAAGATTTTAATAAACCTGCAATCCTTACTTATTCAGGAACCTCCTGCTATAAGCTGACAATGCTCAATCCCTGTCTCCCAGTTGCTTTCCTGCTTTGTCGCTATGTGACACTCTCTCCCAATTGATACTACAAGCACCCATGCCAAGACATTGCACATACATGTTCCACCATTTCATATCATCAGGAAACCTGCCCTGAGCAATGATGTGCAGCAATGATGTGCAGCAATGATGTACAGCTGTAGTGCATGCAGGTAGCCAGGAAATGTTTGCAAAGAGAATGGAGGGCATCAGTAGCACTGAGGTGCAAGAAGGATGAAAATATGATGAAAGCAGTCTTTTCTAAAACAAAAAACATATCAGTTGTTTATGGTACACAATGCTTTAGCAAACTAAGTTTCAACCTTTATCATTATAATAAGATTTAAAATGCATGCATTTTTTTACAGGTGTTGGTCAATGTTAATGACATCAATGATAACTGGCCAACCTTTCCAAAATCATATGAGGGTCCTTTTGATATCACCGAAGGGCAGCCTGGTCCTAGAGTATCAACCTTTAAAGCTGAAGATAAAGATGCTGGTCTCAATGGCCAAGTAGAATACAGCATTGTAGGTGGTGATATCCTTGGTAAGTGTATATTTTTCTCGGAGATTGTCACAATAAAAAAGTGTAACACTGAAAAAATATATATATTTCTTTTTGAATAACTTTGCAATGCTTTGTATCTGAATCATAATTTTAGTGTCATTTTGAGCATGACAAATTATAGAATAAAATGTGTTCTTTTTATCTACAGTAACACAATTTTTTTTAACTAACACTGATCAAAGGAAAATAAATGTACTTTTTTTGTTTGGATTACATAAAAAATAAAATCATTTCACAAGACAATCACCAGAAGAAAGCCTTGCGTGTTCAAAAAAGAAACAATATTTTGTATTAATTTGTTATCCTGTATAATAGCAGAAATGTAAAAAATGCTCTAGGCCACACAGAGGTGAATAGGTTTGATAGCTGAAGTGGTTATGCTATTTTTAACATGTATCTAAACACAAAAACAAAAATTTATTATATTGCAGTTTAACAGTCATTAAATGTGGTCGCTGCATTAGTTTCCTTTTCTTAGTTTTTTTCCTTTTATTTTCCTCTGATGATCCTGCCAGTAACATACTTCCTGTCCCTGGGTAGCTACACTCACTCTTCCACTGTACATATGGAGTTAAAGGGTTATTAAACCCTCAGGTGTTGTTGCATATATCTACTGCTAGCAAGCAGTAGATATATGCAAAAACTTAAAAAAAAAAAAACCCTTTCAAACAGGTTAAAACTTACCTGTGTCTTAACCCCGCGCTCCCATCCAAAAATCTGAAAAATGCCGGCCGGCCGCAAAGGATCTTGGGGCGGGTGCATGCGCAGTTCAGGTTTTTGGCCGGGAGATGAGGAGAGACACAAGGTAAGTCTATGGACGGCGTGCACCCGCATGCAGACACCGCGGGACAGGAAGTGCCAGCAAGGACAGAGGAGTTGACGCTGGATCGGAGACCTGCAGCAGCGCTGGAGGGACAACTGAAAATTACAGGAAAGAAGAAGAAGATCGCATTAAGAGACATCATTTAAGGTGAATGTATATACTATAATAATTAACATTGGGGGGAGGGAAAACATTTTTATGCCTTAATGTCACTTTAACCATAAACAATTAACCATTATGTGGGAGGTATTGGAATTGGAAATAACTTTGTTTTTGCTTCCAGTTCATCTTACTAGAAGTGATTGTGCGGAACTAGCAGTGACAGCTAGCTCCGCCCAATAGTTTCCTATTGTCCGGCGGGTCTGCTGCTGTCAAAAAAAAGAAAATTCGGCTTTCAGCACGGCTCAGCCGAGCCGATGCATATGCGTTCGGCTCGACTGAGCCGCTCTGCCATGTTCGGGAGCTGTACCGGCTATAGTGAATAGCCCGCACAGCACCCCTTCGGTTCTACTGAACCGAAGAGGTCCTGGGGCCGAAGCTAGCCGAAGGATCGGCCGAAGCTACGGCTAGATCCTTCGGCAGCTTCGTGAATAGACCCCTTTCTGTGTGTGTGTGTGTGTGTGTGTGTGTGTGTGGTGCTAACATTTTGCTTTGCATTGCAAATTACTCTTTACAGCTAATTGATCTATTCATGATTGTGGCTCATGAAATTTCAGAAGCTAGAGGCATCATTTATTTATCATTTTGTGTTTTTTGTTTCACGGTTTGTACAGATCAGTGGTTGTGTATATTAGTAAAACCATTTATACAATTAAATGTATTGTAGCTTAACATATACCTTAACCCAAGAACACAAGTTCTATTTATTGCAGGCTACCAGTCCTTATGGCTTAGTTCACACCAGCGGTGCAATGTTTTATGCCACGATTTTGCAGCGGTTGTACCGCGATTGATGCTTTTTTTGTGGGGTTTTTTGGGGGCTTTTTTTTTTTTTGTGCCGGATAATTTGTACCGTCGCCGCCGTCGGTTTCCCCAGACTCCGCTATCCCCATGAGGAGCCCAGGGCAGCGGCTGACCTCTCCTCTGATCACTGGACCTGAATGTGATGTGTATTACATCACTTCCAGTGTCACTATTTACATTTTCCAGCTCTTAGAGCTAGGAGAAGAAGCTGGGGAAGCAGATCTCTGCTTCCTCAGCTTCTTTGGGGTCCCTAGGTGACAATATGTCTCCATAGAGAGGGCCTGTCACACCCTATCTGCTATTACATAGGGGGCTTGTTATCTCCCTATGTAATAGCAATAAGGTTAGTGTAAAAAAAAAAAGTGTTTAACAATAAAAAAGATGAAAGTAACATATAAGAAAAAAAAATGCAAATTTTTTTTTTTAAAGGCCATCGCACATACACATGCAAACACGCGTCGGTCCGCCTACATGCGAAAACAACAATTGTGCTACACATGTTACATATCGCCGTGAACGGAGAGCAATAATTTTAGAGCCATTAATCACTCTTAGCAATATACTGATGAATGGTAAAAGCGTTTAAAGTGTCCCCTATGGGAAATTTGGGGTATTTACGTTTTTGCGGCTTCATGGGCAAACACAATTTTAAGGCTTGACATGTTTGGTGTCTATTTACCCGACATAACCCAGTCTTTGATATTTTACCAAAAAATTGGGTAATGATAAAAAAAATTCTAACATAGTAAAGGGAAAAATGTTGGTATGTTGGTATAATGTTTCATTATATAATAGAAAATAAATACCCCAGTGGTGATTAAATACCACCAAAAGAAAGCTCTATCTGTCCCCAAAAATGGTATAAAATTAATTTCAGTACAGCATTGCATGATTTGCCTGTCCCTGTGTTCGGCTTTAACAATGTATACCATAGGCAAACATCAGACATGTAACTACACAACAGTGCTGTTTTGATAAATAGTAAAATGGGAACTAATGGTTTTGTTTTACCATAAAACAAGAAATATGAAATGATCATAGTTGTTCTCTTTATTCCGTGTTTGTGCAACCAGATTGTGTAACGTCAGTGTTAATAATCGCAAAAATATATTTTTTTAAAAATGTAACAAACACAGTTCTCTTACTGTAACATCTATTTCAGAGGAAACACTCAAACCTTCCTATGCAACCAACAATTGTACCTAATATTGTCACAGTAACAGGGTGTCCATAAATGCCCAGAGTGGAGTGCATTATGCATGATAATTCAGTGAGTCCTTGAGGTACATACAAGTACTTTGGGTACTGGTGTAATTCAATTGCAAAGGTTTTTCCTCATGATGAACTTGTAAGGCTCTACTCCTGGAGAGTGAGAAGCCTCCATGTCAAGCACTAGGGGTCTTATTTGGAAATAAAAGATCATTACATATCCACTTATACACATGAATATTTTCTGAGATGCAACCAGGAGCTTCTGGGCTGCACAATAAGTTAGTACCCCAAGCTAAGTCCTGCTCTGTCCAATGTCCTCAGTGGGCTGTCTGAGCCGGGGTGCCTGGGACTAATGTAATGACTTGTTTCCTTATGCTTTGTGTTGTGGAAAAATAATGTGTCCATTTTAGATACCAGTATGTGCTAGAGTCACCAAAATATCTTGCAAGCCTGTGTAATGAGCATTCATTGGGAACAATTGCAAATCTAAGGTAACTTCATTATCATCTGCTTATAAGCATATTGTCACTGTAATAATAATAGCATTTAGTCCAGGTACATTCAACTACAAATAATATAAGTACCTGAATATGGTGCTACATTCTGCAAAACTCTGAGGGAAGGGGCGGCACGCAGGGGCGGCACACTGTCACTTTGCAGAGTGCTGTCTGCGCATCTTACGGGGTAAGAGAGCACAGGAATGGCTTCACTGGTACACTACTACTATGTTATTGTCCAATCAGAAGGCTAGATGGGGGTTCTAGACCAAACTGTATTGTATAACTTTGGTAAAAAAATGAAGTCTCTGCTCTGTCCGGCAGTGGTACCTGGTACCCATTGGCATGTAACGCAGTTCACATACATGCATTTCCACGGTGCATTTTGCTGTTTACCTAGAGTTTTACTTTCAGTAAATGACTTTAATGTTTAATTAAGATGAGTTAGTTGAAAGACGCTCTTTTTTTTCTGCTGTCTATAAAAGGGGAGTTTGTAATATCATCGGTAGAAGGAGACTTGAGAGTTCGAAAGGACTATGAACTTGATCGAGAGAACATTGCTTTCTACAATATAACCATCATGGCAAAGGACAGGGGCAATCCTCCATTCAGCTCTACGGTAAAGTGGTTTCTACATAGTTACTTTATACTGCTAATTAGAAATGAATTGTAGTATTCCCAGTGTTTGTACATAGCAGAAGCTGCATTTCATGTGTTGTATTAAGTGCAGGTCTTGTCACCTTTCGAATGCTTTAAAAGCAGCTCATGCTCTGAAATTCCAGTTACCATAAAAATAAAGTCCACAGTTGCTTTTTTGAAAGGTATTTTTCTCTGTATTGCCTTTTATATATCTTCAGGAAATACTGAAATGGAAATAGAAATGTTTTTTCTTCCTTTATTTGCACAATGATAGCATCAGCATCAATGAATGCATCACATCAGTACATCCATGTACTAAGTGATATCTCTCCAAGCAGCAGAGATTAAGCTAGTCATGGTCACTTTTAGCGCAGAATAAATATTACTATTGTGTCTCTACTACCTTCGTAAAACAGGATTTATTGTTTATATTGCCAATAAAATGAACATTGCAAAATTACAGATGTGAAATGTTTGTGGAAGATCATGTTAGGTGTGTGAACAGGATTGGATGGATTAGAGCTAACTAATGTTAATCATCACTTGGGTCAGGAACACAGGCTGTTCCGGACTCTGAGGCCAGCGCAGGGACGGCCCCGTCATCGGCGTCTAGTTGCTAGGCGACGGGCGGCCGTTCCGCAGCGCTCCTCCTCTCCTCTCACAGGCAGTGTGACGCGACGGAGGAGGCCCGGCGGCGTCCCGTTGCTAGGAGACGTTCGGGTCGGGTCTCGTCTCCGGCTCCGCCCCCAACAATTGCCTCTGCCTATTTAAACTGAGGCTGAACACTTGCTCGACGTTCTAGCAAAATAGTACGTCGAGCAAGCTATTAGGAACCCTCAACTTGAGCAGAGACCCTGTGACCAGCCTCTGGAACCAGTGATCCATCGATCCAGCCTCCAGCTACCCCCAGCACCAAGAAACAGTTACACTTCCCCTGACTGGACTCTCACCAAACAGCAAGTATATCACTGCCATACTATATACAGGGGAAGTGTTGGTACTGCCACCTTGTGGGGAAGTCTCATATTGCATCCTCTCTGCTCTTCTGCTATCTGCTTCATGATTACTGCTTAGCCATAGTTGGTGTCACCTGCATGTAACTCATATTGGGCTTAGTGAAGATAACTGGCTCTCTCCTCAACCACTGCTGCACCATATACCCTGGACTGTTAATTCCTCAACCATATGAGAAAGACTAGTTCGGTCCTTAGTGAAGCAACTAAGGCATCGAACTACAAATCACAACACGGCCCCAATGCTATATAATTGAGGGTGTGACTATACAACACAAATCCAACTCAATACTCCCAGGATAAATGGTGTATGATGTGTAAGGGGTTCCGACTGCACTCACTGAATTAAAGTGTTACCGTGAACCTCCCTCCTGAACCATTTCCACTTACCTCCGCAGCTGAGATCCAACACTCGCCATCGGGCTCACAGGAATCGTTACAACTTGCTGCCAGGCAATCTATCAAGTTTCTATGACTTACAATTACCCTAATTCACCTTTGTATCATTGTTTGCTGTGCTGATTTTGATGAAGGCAACCAGTTAGCTGAAGCCTCTCTATACGCAGCAAACCAGTCTTGTTGCTGCCCCACTCACAATGACGTCATAACGCCTTTACTGTAATCTGTGCAGGACCATTTGATTGAATTCTAAGTCTATGTCCACTTCATCAGGATGGGATGTGGGTGCTCCTGGCACCCTCCCACTCTGCAGTTCTGAAGATTGGAGCATGGATTAAGGTAAGTATAAGTGGATCATAAAAAAAGAAGAAATTAAGAAATAATCTTTAGTGGCACAAGCGCACTATCTGTGGTGACAGAGTGCGTGGGGAAACTTGGACAGAGGGAAATGGACAAAGCTTGACGTGCTACTCCTGGTATGTCAGGTAGAGGTCACCTGCAAATTGGCACAAAACAAAAAAAGAGAAGGAGCACTGCAACCGGGTGCATTAACTGGGTAGAAAATGGTGAAACAATGTATAACAAAATTACACTCACAATTGTAGCACAGTATAAGATGCTCATCCAAGTTTAATGCACCAGGTTGCTGCACTCCTTCTCTGTTTTTGATAAGTGAATCATAGAAACTTTGTTTAAAAAAATAATTATAGATTGCTTGGGGACAGGTGGAGAGGTAAAAACTGTTTTCTTTTCCTAGTTCAACTTTAAGATTAAACAAATGTATTGGGTATATTTTTAAATTGTGCAAGGATGTTTTGGATCATTTTAATTCAAGGCACTACAAAACTGTAAGGCAGGATGTCAAAAGGCTTCTTTAGATGGCCTTAGAAGGGCAGATGTTTTCCAAGGATAGCAGCTCGGGAAATATCTGCCCATCCAAAAGCAAGTCTTCGGAGCATCAAAAGCCCACTAATGAGGCATGTGTGTAACTTTGCTCAGAGTGAAGAATTAGGCCTTGTTGTTGGACCCAGCACTTAGTATTATTGGGCCTTCTATGGCTGTCCTTATATTATCACAGTCAAACTACTTTACTTGCTTGCTTGGTGAGTCATATGTCCTTCCAGGAGTGGAGTAAATGCCCTTTATGTCCCTCTGTTAACGCACTTCTCTGTGCAGTACATTGTTCTATGGTGCTTTTATGGAGTGTTTTATACATTTCAGATAGCATTATTCCACATAGCTTAAATAGTTTAGCTATTAGATATTAGGTATTTTTTCAATGATGTTTGCTTCTACATGTGTTTTTTTTTGGGTGTTATTTTGTTGATAACTTTATATAATAATGAATCTGGGTTTGCTACATGTATGAATGTGGGCTGGGCAGTGAAGAATCCGCTTTTACCAGTTAAAGCACTTTACAAACTTTCATGAGAATCGCAGGCAACTACAGACACATGCAGTTGTATAGGTTTCAAAATCTGCAGCTAGTACCAAGTGAGTAAAGGGGAGTTTTATTGTTGTTAGTAGCACCCAAGTGGTAGAGCATTTAGTGTAGGAAGAGCGGGATCTCGTAAGGTACATTTGATTTATGGTATTTCTGATTTGTATTGCTAATTTGTCTTATTTGTTTTAAATCCATATTAGGCCATTGTGGAAGTGCGAGTGTTGGATATTAATGACAACGATCCCGTTCTCCTCAATCTTCCAGTAAATATAACCATCAGTGAAAACACACCAGTATTAACCCCCATCACCCGGATTCTTGCTAGTGATGCTGATGCTGGCCGTAATGCCCTTCTGACCTTTAATATAACAGGAGGGAATATTGAAAACTCTTTTTCCATCAATGAAAATGTAAGTCTACATCGATCTGATAAATAAGAGATTAAATATAGAGTGGCCTTTTTTGAAAGATGTTTCTATTTAGAGGTGAAATGGTAGTTATGGAATAATATTCACGATCAGATGTGTATGATCTAGTTAAACTAGATGGAATTAGCTTGTAAGCACTTCAAAAAATAATATACATCTTATTCATGTTCACATTTTCATTGGTAATAGACAGAATAACCATCTGACCTTCTCATCACTTAGACCTTAAGGGACATGGTATCTTGTGAAGCTGATTAGGTTTCCTAAATAACTTTTCTATGTTTCAGTATTACACTATGGCTATGTTTAACCGTGTTCAAGCTTATTTTTTTTAAATTTATTTCAATAGATTTTTATTGGCATATAAAAAAAGAGCAAAGCATAATGCCTCCACTACAGATGGTGGACTGGGAGGCACACATAATCCATAGCGTTATCAGGTGTTGAATAACAGATCATCAGAGTTATGATAACCATTACAGTGTGCATTAGGTGATATTGACATTCAACAGTTATAATCCACCATCCTGTAGGTGTGTGGGCCAATCCAATTGTACAGACCAGCACTAGCCAAGGGTTTAAAGAGGCAAAGTAGAGAGATAGAGGGGAAGGAACAGCGGAATAAAGGTAGAGAGGACTGTAGTACAGGCTGGGTTAAGGAAGATAAATAGAAAAACGAAAAAAAAGAAAGGGGGGGGGGGAATGGGGGCTGGGGTGTATCGTAGAGCATGCGTAAGCTAATTATTTCTAAATACTCATAGTTGATGGTTGGGGATAACAGATAATGAAGAAAAATATATTTCAGCATAGGCATTAGGACCTAGGCTAAGGATTGCTATATTATCCAAAGACATTCTAATAACTTTACTATAAATCCAGATTAAAGTGACACTAAACTCAGGAGTTAAATCTTAAAAATGCCTTCAAGTACCCTAACTATTAACAAAAATGTAAACTATTAACAAAAATGGAACCTATTTGTGGATCACTCAGCTGCAGATTATCTCTGAATTGTTGCCAACACTGTCCTTCCTTCTGGAGGGTGGCTACGATTGTTCCCTATGGTCCTCGTGGATAGACTATAACGTCAATATAAATTTAGTAAACTAAATGTGAGATTGTAGTCCATCACGGAAGTGAGCTTGGAGCGGTGGCTACTTTACAACACACACAGGGACCATGAGGAACAAAAGTAGCCACTCTTAAGAAGGAAGGTCGGTGTAAGCATGAATTCAGAGATGATTTCAGGATCTACAGCTGAGTGATACACAAATAGATTATTACATTTTTGCTAATAGTTAAGATACATGAATGTATTTTTAAGATTTACTGGTTATTCACAAAAGGGTACATAACTGAATTGGATAATTTTTCCAAATCAGTTATTTTATCCTAGATCGTTCACTTCTCCTGCCTTCTCCAAACGCGTCACTCTTTTGTGAACAACCATGTTAATTTCTGAGTTTAGTGTCACTTTAATTTGCCTCCTCTGAATGAATGGAAACAAGCGGGGAATGTCAATCATACAGTTATTTTTTACTTTACATTTTTTTGTCTGTGTTGTCTTTCTTTGACCTTTAGACTGGAATAGTTTATGTGAATCGTCTCCTGGACAGAGAGAAAATTTCAGAGTACAAGCTCACAGTAACTGTGAAGGATAATCCAGAAAATGCCCGGAATTCTAGAAAGGTAGCTTTGATCAAGATTGTAAATGTATATACTATGTTATGTTATCTGTACAGGCATTTGTGAAAAAGAAATAAAAAAAGGCAGGGTAACCTGCGTCTCTAACCCTACACGCATATAATAATGTGTCTTATTAGATGCATTTGCCTTATGACATGCTTTAGCTGTCAAACAGATCCAGTGTCCTCAGTGCACTCACTGAAAGAGAACAATATACAAATCAGGAGTTCTGGTATTACTTTGACTTTCCTGATCTGCATGCTTGTTCCAGGTTAGTGAAATATTGATACCAGAGGCAGCCAGGAAACTGGCATTTTATGAAGGAGGTGAGCAATAGCATTCTCCTTCTAATTCCCAGCACAAATTTCTTTTAAGAAAGCTAATCCCTCTTTTTCTATTTGAACATAGACTAATACGGTTTCTCTGTCCAGGACATTGACCTGTTGATTGTGACCATATCAGATGAGAATGACAATAGGCCAGTGTTCTCCCAAGGATCATATCAAGCGGAGATCATGGAGAACTCCCCAGCAGGTACTCTAGAACACCATTGCATCATATTGGTATACAATATATATTATTATGATTTTATATGGGATTACGTCTTTTTCTTTAAATGTTTGATAATCACAAATTGAATATTATATTACATGATGTGAAGGGTCTTTAAGTTCTGATCTGAACATACGGTTAAAATAATAAAGTTCTATATTACTGATTATCCTTTTACACACTGATTTTCTGTGATGTTTACTAAGTTTTTGTTACAAAACACAGAACAGAACAAAAGACTGTGGAGTATATTGTATATAATTCAGGCTGCTGCTACTTTTTTTTTCTGCTCATTTTAATCCTCTGTTACATAGTTACATAGTATTTGAGGTTGAATAAAGACATTAGTCCATCAAGTCCAACCTATTAGGATCTCATTCTAGGAGTACCCGTACCCCTGTATATTACGGTCCCTTAAGAAATCGTCCAAAAGTTTCTTGAACAATTCCACATTATTTGCTGAAATCACCGCCTGTGGCAGTGAGTTCCAGACCCTAACTGATCTTACTGTGAAGAACCCCCTTCGCCCCTTGTGCTGGAATTTTTTTTCCATCAATTTTAGGTGATGGCCTCTAGTTTTTGTAACGGAGTTAATTTTAAACAGTTTATCGCTAATGTTGCTACCACCATTAAACATTTTGTACATGGAAATCATATCCCCCCTTAATCTCCTCACCTCTAATGTGAACATTCTCTGTTGAAATCCTGAGTATTGCAATCATCTGCATCACATTTTTTATTAAAACATGCTTAATCAGAAGTGGTCAGGGGCACGGTTCCTCGGCACTGCTGTTTACCTCTCACCTTGAGGGTCTGTGGTGGGGCTTATCAGAATCTGGAAGCCCCCTTGAAGGTAATAAACACAAAGAGAACCTTCACTTTTCATATTTAGGAAGCTGTGTGAGAGAGAAACATACTGGTTTATCTTTCTCAGAAATTTACAGCTTCATGGTTTAAATGAGGATTAGGAGATATACATGTTTTGAGTTTCATTGTCTTATTCTTCTTTTGTTTTCAATTTTTTTTACTCATTTCTTTTCACCTATTTTTATTCTTCCATCTGTTTTGGGGGAGGCAGAGAACAGGGGGGAGGGTATTTATTTTATATGTGGGGATGTGGAGGGCCACAATGTTTACATTGCTTTATCTTAATATTGTTGTTGTTAATATTTATTTTTGTAACTTTATTCTGCCTTCAACATTTAAAAGTGTAATTTCATAAGATAATTTAAGAGGGTGGGTTTAGGGGCGGAGTTAAGGCCGAGGCAGGGTTGGGGTTAGGTGGGGCAACTGGTGGCGAGTAACTCTTAAGGCCTGGATAGTAGCTCAGGACTTGAAATTTTGAGCCCTGTCCTAAGCCCTTCCTTGGTTCCAACACTGCAGCCTCTGTCAGTGTCTTCTGCCTTCAACACCTTCAGGAGTGATGGATGCCTGTGTCCCACACCACGTGCCATCATTTCTTTCTCCAACCCCAACATCATAACCACACTCAACATTGATGTTGAGGTTTGCAGAAGGGAAAACACAGCATGTGGCAGGGGACATGGGCATCGACACTTGCTGAAGTGTCCAATGCTAGAAGACATTGACAGAGGCTGCGGCACTGAAACTGAAAGGGTAGGGGACACAGACCATCGGAGAGGTAAGTATAGGAGCTTTTCTTTTGCAGGGCACTCTCATCTGTGTGTGTAAGCTTACAGGGTTGTTTTAAAGGTTTTCCTTTTTTTTTACATTACAGGTATTTATATAGCGCCAACAATTTATGCATCACTTTACAGATTCACATCAGTCCCTGCCCTCAAGGAGCTTACAATCTAAGGTTCCTATCTCACATGCATACATACAGGGACAATTTAGGCAGGAGCCAATTAACATACCAGCGTGTTTTTGGAGTGTGGGAGGAAACCTGAGTACCCGGAGGAAACCAAAGCAAGCACAGGGAGAACATGCAAACTCCTTGCAGATAGTGACCTGGCTGGGATTCGAATCAGGGACCCCAGTGCTGCAAGGCAGAAGTGATAACCACTTTGCCACTGTGCTGTTATAATTAGATACTTATTGTATTTGTTATTTTAAACTGCTTTAATTTTTCTTTTTTTTCATTAGTTTGCTGGTATGTTACATAGTTACATAGTTACATAGTATTTGAGGTTGAATTGTTTGAATTTAAAGAGTGTACAGGTTTTTCTTTTTTAACTGCCACTCTGTAGTCTTAAAAAAAGGAAGTGAACTTTCGAAACATGTTGCCATCAGATATGGCTTCCTAGCAATAGGGACGGAAGTCCTCTTCACTATCTGAGGTGGAATATGAGGCAGCTAAATCTGTTGGTCTCTCCAGGAGCTGTTCAACTCTTATTGATAATCGTTTTAGAGAAAAAAATGGAAGGAGCAGGATGGATTTGATTTATAAAAGGAAAAATTCTAACAGAAACTGTGGTTTTCATTTGGGAAACTCCATTCGTTCCAAAATGGAATGTTGAGATCAAACTAAATTTCAAGTCTTTAATAGCATTGTCAAATGTTGTGACATGATTGTTCATATGAATGTTCATACAAAAATCCACCACAGGCATTTAGGTGTAGCTGTCTCTTTATTTAGACTGGTACAAAGGAGCTCTATAATTAATCTTAATACATTCGTCCTTAGTATTTAACTTTGATATTGTTTTACAGATTCATACAGAGTGTAGACAAACTAACCACTGTGTCTTTTCTTTCCTTCAGGAGTTTAGGACTATGAGGGTCTATTCAGTCTGCTAGGGCTGCAACAGCCTGAGCCATCACTAAACATGTGTCACTTGGCCTCATCTTGTCTCATTCATTTGCTGATGTTTGTCACAGAACGTTGTGCAATATGTTGGGAAAGGGGAAGGGGATCTGGGAGATGGTTATCATTAAAGTGATCAATAAATACATTTTACGTTTTCTGACTCTCCTGTTTGATCTAGGAACACCCATCATTGTCCTTAATGGGCCTATTCTAGCTATAGACAATGACATAGGAGTAAATGCTGTGGTGTCATATCGACTTCTCGGTTCCCAGATGGATTTGTTTATCATGAACAGCAGCACAGGTATGACTCACTTTAATTAAATAGCATTTGTATTATTTGGAGGGAATTAAAGTGGACCTTTACATTCAAAAATCAAATTCTACCAATGCATCCTTCTTTGTATCATGATAAATAATAACAAAGAAATGTCAGGTGAGAAATGCTGTGATTTTGAAATACTTACACTTGTAGAGCATTCACTCCCTGCTTTAAAAGGGCAAAATTACTTCAGTTTGCCAAAGCAATGCACACTGGGATTGCCTTGTCATTGAAATTATGATGATGTAGGTGCCAAACGCATTGCATCCTGGGAAGGTTACATCAGCATAGCAGTGCTGGGAAATCTCATTTTGAGATCTCAGGGAAAGGCATTTCCCTCCCTTGATATGATGTGCATTGGTCACAGGTCCTAGTCACATGTCTAGTCACATGTGCCAGAGTTTCAGGAAGTAAATGGGGAGCTAGTAATCTGCCCTTAGTAGATGTTTACTAATCTGCCCTTAGTAAACATGGTCACTGCCAGAAGACTAGGAAAGAAAATAGGAATAAGGTATGGTATATGGCTAAAGGTCAACCTTAACACCCCAATAACCTTAAATCCCCATTTCCCTAATTATATCTAATGCAGAAAATTATGTAAACTAAATAAAGCTTTATAATATGCTGTATAATAAAAAGTGTAAGTATAGCCACATTTGTTTTAGGATGGAGTGGGGACAGGTAAGAAGCAATGGAATTATGTTAAATAATGTGAGTTCTCACTGCTAAATCACTAACGCATTTTTATAAAATAGGAGAAACGAAAGCTGGTTCGATGTAGGCTGATAAGACCACCTAACACAATTCTTACAGATTCATAGGGTAGGTTTTGTATAAGGACCACATCATGGGGGAGGAAATGAAAGTGGGCATATAAGAATTAAACTATCCCTATTAGACAGATATTGTAATGAAGTAAATAAAAAGGGGAACAGATTTTTTTTTTACGGGAAATACAATCAATTACCTGGGCATTAATGGGGGAAGAGAAACCATTTATCCCCTTATCCTCCATTATTTCATCACCACAAGATTAAGGCCTAAAATAAAGTTTAATGTTAAAGTCCAATAGAAGTCTCACAACATTATATTCCTTTCTAGTCTGGTACCCTTACATGTTATAATATATGAATGATTTTTGCTAGGGGTCTTATACTCAGGTTGTTCATAAAAAGTCTGTATTGCTAAAGGATACATTTCATAGTACAGCTGGGCTTTACTATTTAACTATCAATTATATTAGATATAATAATGATTTTAAATGTGTGTAGTGCTCACCCCCGAAGGAGCCGCTGAATGCCCGGTTCATTGTCTTGGGTATGATCTTCAGCTGCCCACCCCTTAGCATTAACCGCCCTTCTTCTAGTGCTCACAATAGCTGATGTCCACTGCAGTAGTATAATGCAGAATAACCTTTTATTGAACATCTTTACAGGAGGAGAGAGGGTATAGGTTTTCTAAGCTTCCAGGGTGTAACAGACATAGGCTCCAGACTCACCGGACATGGTTGGCATATCAGTGTAGATCCACTTGGGAGGCATTTGGAGTAGCAGATGAGCAAGGATAAATATAGATCCTCAACAAGACATCGGCCATACTCTTGAAGCCCTTTGAGTTCCAGGATACTTCATGAGCCATCATTGGTCCTGGGTCTCTTCCTCTCCAGCAACACAGACCTCCTCCGTGTTGGAGGCCTAGGAAAAGAATTCCCTCACACCGGCCTATGCCCACCCCAGGCCTTGGGCCTAGCCTGGGGGGCAGGCTGAACAGCACCCAGCTCTAATCCATGGCTGGTCCCAGCTAGTCTGAGCACATGGCAAATCACTCCATTATATGTACCCTATCCCAGCATGCACCACTGGTTGAGAGAAACCCAGTGATTGGCTGTTGTACTGTACACACACTATAGCATTTCTTATTGGCTGTCCCACAATATGACAAAGTCATACTCTGCCCAGGGGTATACAGTCAATGCCAGACACCTGGAATTAACCAGATAACTGCCAATATAATCCAGCCAGGCTGACTACAGCCCTGGCTATCACTAAATGTCTAGTAGCCACCTCACAGAAGGTGATGGGGGCTACATGTGTAATTCTTTTGCATATGCCTATTTGATTTTGCCAATGCCATTAATCAGAGTATTGTCTTTTAGGTGTTGTGGCTGTGAAATCAGGCAGAATTATAGACAGGGAAGCGTCCTCTGTTCCTGTGCTGAATCTAACACTCGTGGCAGAAGATATTGGGAAGTTAAATAGCACAGCCTCACTTGTCTTAACAATACTGGATGCTAATGACAACAGACCTGTCTTTAGCCCACAGAGTGTTAGTGTGCGCCTTAGGGAAAATAGTCTTCCAGGTAAGTTACTCTGTTAGCCACTTATCACAGATGGCTCATTTTTGTCATTTACATAGCTAAATGTGGCCAAAAATGAGAGATATTGTTGTACACTGCAGTGGATCATACCACAGTTGCTTTGTTGTGGCCCACAATCTCACTGGGATCACAATCTCAATCTAAATTTTTGTCTTATTTTTCGTCATCTTAGCTGATCTGAGGCAGATTTGAAGAGAAATACTGGCTGTGCTAGTAATTTGTAGTAGGGGGTTTTACGG